GTGTATTGATTATCGGGAACTGAATAAGTTGACGGTCAAGAACCGTTACCCGTTGCCGAGGATCGACGATTTATTCGATCAGTTACAGGGAGCATCTTGGTTCTCCAAGATTGATTTGAGGTCGGGCTATCATCAGGTGAGAGTACGGGACGAGGACGTCCAGAAGACAGCATTCAGGACGCGTTATGGGCATTATGAGTTTGTGGTGATGCCTTTTGGGCTCACCAATGCCCCGGCTGTGTTCATGGACCTCATGAACAGGGTATGTCGGCCGATGTTGGATCGGTCGGTGATTGTGTTCATTGATGATATTCTGGTATATTCGAGATCTAGAGAGCAGCACGAGGAGCATTTGAGGGAGGTTCTTGGAGTTTTGAGATCGGAGAAACTTTATGCAAAGTTTTCCAAGTGCGATTTTTGGTTGCGGGAGGTCCAGTTTCTGGGACATCTCGTTAACCAGAAGGGGATATTGGTCGATCCGGCCAAGGTTGACGCAGTGATGAGGTGGGAGGTGCCAAGGTCACCTTCTGAGATCCGGAGTTTCCTTGGGTTGGCAGGGTATTATCGGAGGTTTATTAAGGATTTCTCCAAGATTGCGGTTCCACTCACCAGATTGACCCGGAAGGGTGTTACATTTCTATGGGGTCCCGAGCAGCAGACCTCCTTTGAGACGCTTCGCCAGAGGTTGTGTGAAGCTCCGGTATTAGCTCTTCCGGAAGGGATGGAGGGTTTTGTGGTATTCTGTGATGCATCGATTTTAGGACTGGGAGCGGTACTGATGCAGAAGGGACATGTGATAGCATATGCATCGAGGCAGTTGAAGCCTCACGAGACGAGGTACCCCACACATGATCTGGAGTTGGGGCAGTGGTGTTCGCCCTCAAGATTTGGCGGCACTACTTGTATGGGGTTCGTTGTACGATTTACACGGACCATAAGAGCTTGAAGTACCTGATGGATCAGCCTAACCTAAACATGCGGCAAAGAAGGTGGTTAGATGTGGTCAAGGATTATGATTGCGAGATTTTGTACCACCCGGGCAAGGCTAATGTGGTAGCCGACGCATTGAGTCGCAGGGCGGAGAGTGCTCCACTGCGAAATGTATGTTTGCGACTGACTGTGATAGCTCCAGTTCTGGACGCCATTCGTGGGGCACAGGCCGAGGCTGTGCGTCCGGAGATGCAGAAGAGAGAGCGGGTCGTTGGGTTGGTTTCGGAGTTCGTATCGGATAGTCGAGGCCTTATGACTTATCAGGGCCGGATCTGGGTACCGTTTGTAGGCGGTACACGTACTACATTGATGGAGGAGGCTCATAGATCGAAATTTTCGATCCATCCCGGGGCTACAAAGATGTATTTGGACCTAAGGAAGGAGTATTGGTGGCCTTGTATGAAGAGGGATGTCGCATGGTTTGTCGAGAGGTGTTTGACCTGTCGAAGGGTAAAGGCCGAACACCAGAGACCGCATGGCAAGTTGCAGCCATTGGAGGTTCCCGAATGGAAGTGGGAACAGATCACTATGGATTTCATCACCAAATTGCCGAGGACTGCCAGAGGAGTCGATGCAATTTGGGTGATTGTGGATAGGTTGACGAAGAGCGCTCACTTTCTTGCCATCAGTGAGAGTTCTTCGGCGGAGAAGTTGGCGGAGATTTATGTGAGGGAGGTTGTATCTCGGCATGGGGTGCCGATCTCGATCGTTTCAGACCGCGATGTGCGTTTCACTTCCCGCTTCTGGAAGAAATTTCATGAGGAGTTGGGTACTAAGCTGCATTTTAGTACCGCATACCACCCCCAGACCGACGGCCAGAGTGAGCGGACGATTCAGACACTTGAGGACATGCTTCGGGCATGTGTATTGGACTTTGGGGTAGTTGGGATACGTATTTGCCTTTGGCGGAGTTTTCCTACAATAACAGCCATCATTCGAGCATCGGTATGCCGCCCTTTGAGCTGTTGTATGGTAGGAGGTGTCGGACTCCCATATGTTGGGGAGAGGTTGGGCAAAGGGTAATGGGCAGTACAGAGATCGTGAATCAGACGACAGAGCAGATACAGCTGGTCAGACAGAGGTTATTGACCGCTCAGAGCCGACAAAAGAGTTACGCGGATAGACGCCGGTCCGAGCTGGAATTTCAGGTCGGCGACTTTGTTCTCCTGAAGGTTTCTCCTTGGAAAGGAGTGATCCGGTTCAGGAAGAGGGGCAAATTGGGGCCCCGGTTTATAGGTCCGTTTCGTGTGATCGAAAGGGTAGGCCGGGTAGCCTATCGGCTGGAGTTACCAGCAGAGTTGGGGCAGATTCACAACACTTTTCATGTATCGCAGTTGAGGAAATGTATAGCCGACGAGTCAGCAGTGGTTCCATTAGAGGATATTCAGGTAGATGCAAGCCTGAATTATGCTGAGAGACCAGTGGCTATTAGGGATCGGAAGATCAAGATTTTGAGGAACAAGGAGGTACCTCTGGTATTGGTACAGTGGCAACATCGGAAGGGATCAGAAATGACCTGGGAGCCGGAGGGTATGATGCGGGACAGCATCCGGAGCTATTTTAGAGCGAGACTTCGAGGGCGAAGTCTAGTTCTAGTGGGGGAGAGTTGTAACATCCGGATTTTACCAGGTATCTTGTAAATCTAATTTTGTCATATTGTGAGAGGGACTCGGCGAGTTGGAGCTCAGACTCGCCGAGTAGAGACGCGGAATTGAACATTGGTGCGCGCCTGGACTCGGCGAGTCCAGGATATGGACTCGGCGAGTCTGCGCTGTGTAATGAAACCCTAAATCTCCGGGTTTGAGGCCTATTTAAAGGGCCTTATGGCCGTCATTTGTGCTCACCCAACCCTCAGTGAGTGACCCTTGTGTTCTTGAGCTATTTGTGAAGAGAAAGGAGCCATTCTTGATCTTGTGTGTGTTATTTAGCAAGAAGAAGGAGACCCTAGGCAAGAGGAAGCAAAGGAGGTTGCTATTTCGTGGATTTGGAGCTTAGATCATCACTCTAGAGGTATTATCTCGGACCATTTTCTGTTTAGTGAAGCATGATGCAATTTAGGGCTTGTGGTGGTCATTTATGGGATGATTTGATGCCCATTGGTTCCCTCTTTGAGTTGAGGCCATGGATCTGGATCCATAGAGGTCCAGAGAGCCTCACTCATCAAGCTTTATGAGTGACAATAGAGTCTTTGACCTTGTGTTGTAGTATTTGAGTCATAAACATCATATATGGTCATATAGAGGTTGTATGTGCATCAAGATTGTAACTTTACGTGCTAAATGAGCTTGGAGGGACTGGATCTATGGATTAATGAACTGGATCTAACCTTTAGAGCAAGATTGAGTCAGTGCATGGCATGGACTCGCCGAGTCCGAAGAACAGACTCGGCGAGTAGCATGAATGTTTCCCGACCACACTGTGAGTGGCCTCGCCGAGTTGGGAAAGGTGGACTCAGTGAGTCAAGGGGGAGTCAGAATGGATAGGTGGACTGAGTCTAACTGGACTCGCCGAGTTGTTCTTGAGACTCGGCGAGTTGAGTCGTGGTGGCCCCACAACTCGTGCCAGGTGGAACTCGTCGAGTTGAGGGAATGCTCGACGTGTCAAGGGAGGATTCCAGGGAAATTGGTGTACACGCCCAGACTCGCCGAGTCGCCTGGGTACTCGCCGAGTCCGGTCAAAGTTGACCGTTGACCGTTGACCAGCGTTGACCTAGATTGACTTGTTATAGTGTGGTCAAACCTAGTTGGGAAAGTGTTAATTAGAGGTGTATTGTGCTATAGGGGGACGACAGCTCGACAGGTTGAGTGATTAGCGATTTCAGGTTTACGATTTACCGAGACACGCGAGGTGAGTCTTCTCACTATACTTTACCTTGAGTAGGTAACCAGAGTTATGTGATAGAGTATTTGTATGCTATGTATGTTATGTGTTGTACTGCATTACTTCTATGTGTTTGATGCTGTGCATGTTTACAGAGTTAGAACCGGAAGGTTCACAGAGTTAGAACCTGAGGGTTCACAGAGTTTGGGTGCACGGACCCACAGAGTTATAGCCTCGAGTGGCTAATATGTGTTATATGTAGTATTTTGGGGAACTCACTAAGCCTTGTGCTTACAGTGTTGATGTTATTGTTTCAGGTACTAGTGACGACCGCGGGAAGGCGCCGGCTTGATCCGTACACACACACACACATTCGGAGCTTGATATCACGATCTTGGGATTTTGTATTGTCTTGTTTGGATAATTAAAATGGTTGTTTAATGAATATCAATGGAATTATGTTTTATAAAAATTGAAAAATTTGTTTTGAAAATTTTCGCTGTTACATAACTATCTCTGCCCTTTCTTTATTCTTCGCTTCTATGATCTCAGCCTCCTATTCACCCCTCTAAAGCCTTACTTGTAACTCCACACCATGCTTGTTCTTATCTTGTTATGGAAAATCAAGAAAAATTCGAAAAACCTTAGGGTTTCGCTGTGAGGCCTCGTTTCTTCTTATCAGTATCGAATTTCTTCTTGGCTGAGGGGTCGGATTAACGAGACCTGTGAGATTCTGAGATCGTTCCAGTCTCCCTGTGTGACTGTGTGAGGATACAGAGATTAATGGTTGCGACAGGGGTTAGCAAAGCTCCTTATTTCTTCTCTACCAGGTATAATAAATGTTGGGTCCAATCTCTTCATCCTTTCACAAATCTTCTTTAAAGGAGTATTCTTTATGTGCGTACTTCGATTGTTCCTTGTTTTTTAATTGAAATGAGCTGAATCATTAATTGAAATTTTTACGCGAAACATGGATCTAAATCAAAAGCGAATCTAAACAGTTGTCCGAGTCAATTCGGTTGACCACAAGTCTGTGTCTCTCGTATGTAAAGATTGGTAAAACGTTGAGAGGTGGAGCATACGTCATGTGTTTATCGGAAATTGCTACTCGGTGTCGCCATAGACTGTAGCCGGGAGGTTTCCTCAGATTCAGAGCATGACCTTGAAGGGGAAACTGAGGTTTTTGGATTTCAATTTAGTACTGAAGGATTGGGGAGCTGATGTTCATCCATGGTTGAGTGTTCTCGCCAAAGCGTATCCATTCCTGGAGTAGCTACGACTGAAGAGAATGGCAGTTTGCTACTCATCGTAGGTAAAATTTCTACTTTTCTTCTCGATGTTAGAGCTAAATTTGTTCTCCAATGTGCATCAATCACTTTATCTATTTAACATTTTCCGTCCCAATTCATATAAATTTGTCAAATTAGGTTTTGTTTGCTGTAAGAGACATAAATCTGATCACTTTACTCTTGTGTTTGATCTTGATGTTATCAGATCACACTAATTTTGCTGTTATTGTTTGAAAATTTTGAAGATCTGGAAGCTTTACACATTCATATCCATTATGTTGAAGATCTTATACCCCTCTTATCTATAGAGAAGTTCCCAGCTGGTACCCTATTTTTCCTTATCTCATGTGAAAGTTTAAATTGTTCTTTCATTGTCCTTCAAATCTCTTTTTTTACCATTGCCCTTCAAATTGGTATTTTTACCTTAGTTACACATCATGGTTCTATATCTTTTTCTTCATTTTTTTTATTAAAAGACCAAAATACCCATGTTTTATATATACCGAAACAAAATAAAAAGGAGTGCACCAGAAGGCATTGATGATCCATATGGTGGCATTGCTAAAGGATGAGAAGGTTGAGGGGGCATCCATGCTTGCTGTAAGCCTGATAGAGGAGGTCCCATATTTGGTAACACATTTTGCAATGGAGCCATTAACGGGAACATCTACCAAATAGGATTATAAATTACTTGTGTCATTAATAGATGGAATGGAATGATGGTTTTTCATATCTAAATTATAAAGGGTAAAACAACAGAATAATGACATATGCTTACTAGCTAACAAATAATAGGAAAATATAGCATGTGTTCAGGAGATGGATGCCTTGCAGTCAAATACAAATCACTCATTGCAAGCTGAACTCATAGAACGCAATGACCAATACAATAAACTTTGGGTTACTTGCTAGAGATAGGTTGCTTTTCAGTCAATGCATGGAATGCCAACTTTCTTTTCACCTGGACAACTGGAGGACATGTTGTTGTTGTTACTGGAGATGGAACAAATGATGCCCCTACTCTACATGAGGTAATAATTAAATATTTTTTTTATGATCATTTAATTATTTGTAATGTAATTTATTTATATGTTTTTTATTTTGAGATTGAAACTGTAGGCTGATATATGTCTTGTTATGGGCATCTAAGGAACTAAAGTTGCAAAAGAAAAAAGTGACGTCTAAAGAAAGCAGTGACATCTAAGGAACAAATGATGCCCCTACTCTCTCTCTCTCTCTCTACTTAGTTAAATATAATTATATCTTATCTTGTTACTATAATATGTTTTTCCATTAACATGGTAGCTATTAAAAGACCTCAAATAACTGTTCATGAACATCAAGCTTCAGTTCATGTCATTTATATATCTTTTAAAAGGTATAAAGGAAAAACACAATATTGTTTAATGCTTCATAATTACATGTTTATATTCTCAAATTATTTAAACACCATACATTTTTATATACATTGGTTAAAGATATTTCTATATAAAATTTTAAGTGTATAACATGTTTGTATTAGAGAGAGTAAACCGAAGCTTGAGGATTTATTACAGAAGTGGTCTGAATGGCATAATCGACATCAATCTTCATCTCATGTAAATTGCTTGTATTTTTATTTTTTATTTTTATTTATGTTCGTAAATATCTAAATTTCTCAAATGTTTAGGATTCAAACGTTGAGGTGGAATCTGGTGAATGGATGTATTTTCCAGCTCTTAATGTTGGTCTAGATAAACCTTCTACACTGCTATCAATTCAGTATCACCACTTTGTTAAAAAGACTAAAATAGTACCCCCTATGTTGCCATCTGAAACATGTGTATTGTTTTGTGTAGTCATTCTGGATGGATGGGCAAACTAGTAATTTACTATTGCTATTATGAAGGTATGATGTTGCTATTACGAAGGTATTCCACTCCGGTTGTCTTTTTCACATAAGTGACAAGGAGCTGTTGTATATATTCAGACTAGGCTTAAAGAAATGGTTGTTAGAGATGAGTTTAGAAGAAGAAGAAGAAACAAGGCTGCAACTATAGTCAAGGTACTATGGATGAATTATGTTTGTAAAGTATTTAAGAAAATGATTAGAACAAGGGTGAATTTGTAAAGATTACTTAATTACCTACTTGCAGGTTGATCTTGAATAAGAAAAGGGGCAATGGATTGTATTTTTTGTATCTAATTAGTTTGTAAATTTTTGTTACAACTTCTATTGATTTGTTTTATCTTTCCATGGAACGATTATTTGTGTGACATTAAATTTTATGCACTGGATTGTATTTTTTGTATATGATATTTTATTTTCTATTATAAGACATTAAATACAAATTTAATTTGAAAATTGGTAAATCTATAAATAACATTTTTTTTAACGTTTACAATTATGATACGCAAAAATGTGTGTCATCTTCATTTATGACATGACCTTTCTTGACAGGGGCTTTCTTGATACGCATTGCGTATCATTAACACGTGCGTCGTAAGGTTACGACACGAGAATGTGTGTCGTCTTCCTTTATGACAGGGCCTTCCTTGATACACATTGTGTGTCGTAAATGCGCGTAGTAATTGCGCGTCATAAATGAGCATCCTAAATGTGTGTCGTAAATAGACGACGCACAAAAGCGCGTCGTCTCTCTTTATGACATGGCCTTCCTTGACGCGCATTTGTGCGTCGTCTGAGCCTTTTACGACGTGCAATGAGCGTCGTAAAAGGCTGTTTTTTCTAGTAGTGTTATCCCACAGGATTACTGGATTCTCCAAGACTCTTCTTGATTCGAGTATGGATCCTGTGCTTTCAGTAGTACGGGCCTAATAATACCTTCCACACCTATCGATACTTTCCTCAAGAATCATCCTAAATCCTCCAAGTCACCCTCTTAAGCTGGTACCCTGAATGTTCGCTAACAGTGCAACCAAATCCACTAAAGCATTTCCTAGGCTGTCCTAGCTTCTCGACCTCACCTAGCCCTCAACTACTGAAAGACTCCTATCAATGTCAACTAACTACCTCATGGATATAGTCACATGCAATGAAGATCATATAATCCTTCTAGTAAAAGACTTTGTCCTAGATTGGTTGGACTCGGACAAGAGTTGCACAATAGAGCCAAGTCCTTCACACTGAGATTATTCAACCTGTGCCTCATGTGACTTTTCATATCCACTTAATACTTAATTCACATCACCAAGAGCCCCACATAGCACAAAGCAAGCAATATTCAGACAATGGGGAAAATCTAACCAGCATATCTCTATTTATACCATTCTATCCTCTAATAAGAAATCTAAACTAGCATGTAATTCAAAGGCTCATATAATCAGGCATACCCTAAACAGGCTATCCTATGCAAGTCTAAAAGCACATACAGTAGGCATATAAGGCATCCTTCCTAGATCCTTAGCCCTAATCTAGCATGCAGTTCACGTATTCTCAATTTATATCATAACATAACCTGTATGGGTATCATGGGTAAAATTTACTTGGACATGGCTGATTACACGCATCACACACCTTGTTCATTATTAAAATCCTTCTTTTAAATTGTAGAAGAATTATTTTTCTTGTAAAAATATTTCAAACCCCATATTTGAGTCCATACACACCCGAGAGTGTGTCTGAATCCCTCAAACCAAGGCTTTCATACCAACTTGTAACATCCCGAAATTCAAGACAAAAAATTTCACTTTTAATTAAGTTATTATAAAACCAACATTATAAGAAAACATCCATAATAACATCCCGTGTCAAAACCAAAGTGTTAATAATCAAAACATATTATTATAAAACAATATCAGAGTGTAATCCCAAAGATCTCATGTGCAGAAAACATAGTGTGACGTGATGCGATTGCCAACTCCTTTCCTTTGAAAACAAAGTACTTGAAACCAAAACTAAAAACTGTAAGCACAACGATTAGTGAGTTCCCACATCATACCATACACCATACAAATAACATACTGTCAGGCATATCTGGGTGCCCGACCTACCCCTTCGGTCTCTTTCAACCGGTAACCGCCTAGCATATCTTGGTGCTGGCCTATCACTTTGGTCTCTTTCAACCGATAACCGCCTAGTATACCTGGTTGCTAGCCTACCCCTTTCATCTCTTTCAAATGGTAACCAGGGACTATTTCACCCACTACTATTACCATATAATATCCTAGCATATACATATAAATCACATACTGCCTAGCATATCTGGGTGCTGGCCTACCCCTTCGGTTCTTTCGACTGGTACCGGGGACTATTTCACCGCTACTTCTACCATATATCATGTTAGCTCATAAACACATAATTCATATACATCCTAGCTTATCCGGGTGTTGTCATACCCTTTTGTCCCTATCGACCGGTACTGGGGTCTATCCTACCCCTCCTACCACTATTACATAATATCATAGCATACTAGCACATAAAGCATAATAGATAGTAACCTACTAGATAAGTATCACAAAGATAATAATCTCTATTATAACTCTTACTAGTGGGTTAGCATTGGTGCCTTCGACCCACTTCTACTAGAAGGTAACTCACCTAACATTGTTGAAGTCCTACGGATAAACACTAGCTATTGGATGACAGGTACCCGAACTGTCAACATCAAAACAACACCTAATTAATTATTAGGTTCCAACACATAAACATAAGCCCATGTTTGGGGTAAAAGACTACTTTACCACCATATTAGTTTGATTCAAGCTCAAGGCCCAAAAGTCAAACTATGAATCAAGGCCCAACATATGGCTTAATTTTCCAAATTGGGCCCAAACCCATACATGGTCTTACCCTAAGGCCCAACCATTTATTCCAATCAAAACATTTAGCATTCTAATGGTATAATATCTCATAATCATCAGGGCCTAATTATGGCCCATCTATGGCCCTGTTTTCCAAATTGGGCCCAAACCCCTCGCATAGGCCTTACCCTAAAGCCCATCCAAATATTCTAGTATGTATGCTTGTTCTTGGATGACCTATCAATAGCCCAATCACCAAAGCCCAATTAAAAGGCCAAACTCAAAGCCCAAGCAAGATTAGGGTTTTTACTTAAAATGACGATTAGGGTTAAGTGTTTCTTACTTAACCCATTAAGGACTTAATTTATTAAGTCCATCACTCTACTAAATAATTCATACGGTGTGATCGGGTGTAATTCATACTTCAAGTCTAATGGCCCAAAACGTGGGTCCCGATAAGTCTGAACCAACAAATCCAAAATTAGGGTTTTTTAAACCCTAATTAGGGTTTCTAACCCAATCACATTCCAATTAATCCATTTGTTAAGTTTTTAGGTTAATTAATTATTAATTAAGTTGGGCACCACCCCCTACCACCTCGGGTAGTGGTGGTTAATGACGGCTCATGGTGGCGGCCACCACCTCATGGTGATGGTGATAGATTTCCTTAATTATTCCAGTTGAAATACAATATTACAACGAAATATCCAAATAAACGCACACACACAAATAACACATACACACACCCATCCACCATTATGGCAACAAGCAGTGGTTGGAGGTGGCAGCCACCACCTTACGGCGGTGGTGGTGGCTTTTCTTGTGAAATCCAGCCAAGCAACATCTAAACACCACTTCAACTGAAATAGACACACATATAGCATCATTTCACGCACATACATCCACCTTTGTGGTGGATGGTGGTGGTACAAGGGGACAACCACAATGGTTGGCAGCCATGGTGGTTTTCCATGGTTTCAGGCCAATGAGCACACCCACAACCACACAAAGATACCAAAACATGCAAACACATGAGTTGAACACCCCATTAGAAATCTTGTGGCAGCAGGCGGTGGTAATGAGCGTGAAAGGGCGACGATGCAACAGTGGAAGGAGGTGGCACGATCGACGATGACCTCGTCTTCATGGAAATGGAAACGTAACGACCTAACCTTGGATTAGAGCAGCCCCCGAAGTCATTGATCTTCTAATACCCATGACTGAATCACGACAGAAAAAGGCGACTCGTCGTCTTCGTCGGTGGTCATTGTTCATGGTCCTTGCCAGCAACGGAAGTCACGATGGAATTGGATGGTTGACGGTTCCTATTGACGGCAACGACGTTGGCTGGGATCAACGGTCGTTTTGCGGCCATGGATGATCGGAGGATGATCGAAAATGGGTGGTGGCGACTGAAGGATCATACCCGGCGGCTGAGGCAACTAGTTAGGGTTAGGGTTTAGTATGGCATGGTGACGGGTTATATACCTGGATTATCTACATCTTCCCCATATTTACATTTACAGTACCTCCATCATAATTCCTTTCAAATAAAGTCCATAATTACCCTTCATACCCGTGCTCTCGTAATTCCTTTCATATTAAGTCCAATAGTTACCAACAACCCCTCCTCTACAAATTATTTTCAACTGAAGTCCATATATTAGCATTAAGCCCCTTAGCCTCCAAAATCTCTTGAAATTAAGTCTCAATAATTTACCAAATAGTCACTGCTGTCATAAAATTTACAAAACCAATCTGGAACTTACACTTTTAACCCCAAACTTCTAAAATTATGACAGTTAATTCCTCGAAACCAACACAATGCTAAATTATTATTGATTTTAGGGTTACTATTCATTCATTAATATATCCATTTATTTATTTAATAAACGGGGTGTTACACATATACATACATATCCACACATATATATACATATTTATATAAATACACACACACACACAAACATGCACACACACACAAATATATATATATATATATATATATATATATATGTGTGTGTGTGTGTGTGTGTATATACGAACATTTCACATATAAGTACATACATTCCATATACATACATACATTTTCACATCGATTTTTTCATATATCTACAACAA